TGACAAATGTTTTTCATTTACATTCATGTCTTTTAGCCCTGTTTAATGGCACCTCTAGGAGCTCTGGTAACATAGTGGTTATGAACTGGGCTGCGAACCTTAAGGTCAGCAGTTCGAAACTACCAGCTGTTCTGCGGGAGAAAGATGAGGCTTTCTGCTCCCGTAAAGATTTACAGCCTCAGAAACCCCATATAGGGTCTCTATGAGTCGGAACCGACTCCACGGCACATAACAACAACAACAATATGCTTCACAAGTTTAGGTTTCTTTTTCAAAAGTTAAGTTTCCAAATTTTTAGCTCAACGCCTACCTCGTTATTTCATCCATATCCAGACACAGGCCTTCATATACATACTTTCGTTCCTGTCTCCTAGTATATTATCTGTTTACCTAATTTTCTGCTAGCTTATGAGCTCTGTTATACATCAAGAATTTTTCATTTTCCCAAGGCATCCTCATAGTACATTGCTCATTAAAGGCACAAGATATTTAATGACTAAGACTTCAAAATCAGTCTCATTATTTTATAGACACATTTATTTAAAAAGTTAAGCTTTATGTTACAGAATAAAGCTGATAAAGCAAAACACCATAATTAAGTTGGTAAATAGAATGGACAAATGAAAATAGGTGGGATATTAGAATTGTTGTATATGAGCTGTTCTGAATTCAGAATAAAACTGGTGTTATTCATTCAGCTTCCCAAGATTAGTATATAAATAAAGGCATAAATAAAAATAATTTCACTTAAGGTGATTATTTTTTCATGTAAAGGAAATTAAAAAGAAACTAGATAAGCCAAAAGTTCATTTACTACATATATATTCTCCTTAATTGATTTTTAAAAGGTAAGAATTAAATAATTTGCCCAAGTCAAACTGATTGTTACATGAGACTCCAAACATCAAATAGCTGTAATTTTAACATTACATCTTTTGCTTTATGATTTTTTTTCTAAATTCTCAGGGAGAATAAAGTATGTCTTTTATGAACAGTAACCTTCCAAGAAACTATCAAATGATAAAAAATCTATGCAAACTGTAGCAGTCAGAAACTATTATGATAACATGGTGCTATGTAAACCGACCTGGGTCCATATGGAGGGGAAAAAGTGTCACCAAGGAAGTGTCTATATATATATCCATCCAAATTCTCAAACACTCCATCATTATTTACTTGATATTCCTTCATGGCTTTAAGATAGTCTTTAACATCATTGACAAAGTCAACGAAGAGCTTCTGATCGTGTATGAAGACACCGTTTAGGAAAAACTTATTGATGAATTGATCCAGTTCTTTCCAATGATGGAAACCATCCAGTTCTTCTAGTAAGTAGCTTAATATTAACTGTCTAAATTCATCTATCCTTACAGGATTCAACACTACATTAAACAGGCTAATGGATTCCTGTCGAGCACAGTCAATTACATCCGAACAACCCTTTCTCAAAGAACGATAATGTCCATTACAGTCACGTGCTGCACTGCATTTCTGTGCATTTGTGTTTGTTTCAAATCCTTCAGAGTGAATTGGCTTCTTCCTTCCCTCTCTCTGCACAGTAGGGCCTCTACTATCCTGGTTTTGTGTAGTTGCCTTATATTGTGGGTGTATATAGCCATGATAAACTGTTCTTGATTTCTTAGCTGCTTCTTCTTTTGTAGCTCCAAATCTTTTATTCCCTTTTTCATCAAAGATATTTTTGGTGGTATCTTTGAAGTGTCTGAAAGTAGATTTAACAGAATCTGAGAATTTTTTCAGATTTTCCTTCACAGCTTCTTTGGCCTGTTTAATTTTTTCTTTATGATGCCTCACAAACTCCTTGGTTGAATTCTTCATCGCATCAAATGTTTCCTTAACTGAACCCAAAAATGTTTCTTTTGACTTATTTTTAGCTCTGTGGTTTCCTCTGCCCCCTTTCTTTTTTCCATCAGTTTCTTGTTTTCCATTTTGATCTTTTGCCTCAACATACAGTCTTTCCCACAAATCAGAACGCTGCTGTTCAAAGTTTAGCTTCTGCTCTAGTTCTGTAAGTCTTCCCCGTAAGGTTTCAATTTCCTGTTTTTCAGCCAATACACTGGGAGAGTCTGGATTGCTATATGACTGACTAGTGCTTAACTGCTGGAGCTCCACCTTTAAAGCAATGGTTAATAGTCGTTCTCTGTCCAGTTCCCTCTTCAGCATCTTTGCTTCTGCCAGTAAAGTCTCCCTTTGATTAAAAAAGCTGTATGTCTTCTTCTTTTCCTCTTCCAAATGCTGCCTAAGTTTCTGATTTTCTGTAACCAATTCAGTACTTGTCCCTTTATTTTCCAATATCCTAATCTGTTCTCTTAGTTTCCTTAACTCTTCCTGTAATGAGCACAAAGCTTTTTCTTCTTTCTCCAGAGTCATTCTTAAATATTGATTTTCTGTAGCAAGGTCCTTTTTCTGAGTTTCAAAAGACATTTTTTCTGCTTTTGTAAGGGTCCAACACCTTGCAAGGTTCTCCTTCAGTGACTATTGTGAAAGAGAAGAAAGGAAAAATTCAAGTGCTTTAACGGCTTAGGTTTAAATCTTTAAGGTTAAAAAAAAAATACTCCCCAAACTCTACTACCTTTATTTCTGGGCAGTACTTTCAATAGTACAAGAGTTGGAAACTACGAGGTTCATATGCAAAAAAACGCACAGCAACGAGCTGCACCACACTAAGAATAAGAGCATGGGAGAAGAATGAAAAGAATGGGAAAGCTAGCTAGAGCTAGATTTCTCCCTAACAGAATTTTTTAAAAGAGACCATATGAAATCTTTACTGCGTTGGGGTCCTACTTACAAGTCGGAAGAAAAGGGTATAAGCCCTTTTATCTTTTTACTCTAGAACTCAATCAACTCTTCTGGAGAATTTAGGCACGTTTAACACTGGACTGCAAACCACAAGGTCAGCAGTTCAAACCCACCAGCTGTTCCTCGGAACCCCTATACAGGGTCACTATGAGTTGGAACTGACTCGATGCCACTTACACCACCAATGGCTTCTCTGGAGTCCTGGTGTGGAGCGCTGCAGGACAATGTACTGGACCACAAGGTCAGAAGTTCAAACCCACCATACACTCCTTGAAAACCCTAGACAGGGTCACTGTGTGTCAGAACCGACTCAACGACAGTAACAACAACAACACAGCTTCTCTAAGGAGCCCAGGTGGTGCTGTGGCTTAGGCATGGGACTGCTAACCACAAGGTCAGTGGTTCAAAGCCATCAGTGACTCCCTCAGTAGGAAGATGAGGCTGTCTTCCAGTCCAGATCTAGTCTCAGAAACGCTACTGTAGGTCATCATGAGAAGTGACTCCATGGCAGTGGTTTGGTTTGAAAACACTTCTCTGATGCTTGCTTGGAGGAAACTTTTATAAAAAGTAAAATCACAGCTAGAGCTGACTTCAGGCTTCAAAAACTTTGTAATCACTGCACCCCTTTGAAGAAATATTTCAATAATCTTAGTGCTCTTTGCACATTAACATTTCTAGGGCTAAGTGCAAGTCATAACAAGGTCTACATGCTTTTTAAAGGACACACTGAATCTTGGTAATAGTGTAAATAATTTCCCATAAACTGCTAAAGTGAATATAAACCAGATTCCCCATGTAACTGTCATCACACAGAGGAATCACCTTTGCTCAGGTTCACACAGTATTCCTACAGTCTTAAGTAGCCTGGACTAAACCTGGTTTGTCTTTCAATGTGCATTAATAAGCACTAACCATTAACAGCAAAAAAACTAAATAATATGCTTCAAAAGGCTAGTGATGATACTGTAAATCTACAGATACAGCATTACCTAGTTGGTCACACTATCGGAACCAACAAATCCACAAACTGACACTTGAATTCTGCTTAATTTATCAGACATTGTTGGTGAATGACGATCCCATTTTAATCAGACCGGCAATAACTGTATCTAAATTACAAGAATAAGCAAAAAAAGTCCTTTGAAAAATAACCATCTAAAATGGTTGCTTCACTGTCTCACTAATTTTTAAAGAACAAATTAAAATTTGATTAGTCATTCGACTGTTATCCCTACATGAGAAAAAGCAAGTGTCATCGATCTAACAGCAGCTGACTGTCAAGAACAAGCTGATGTAGCATTATCTTTATATGATTAAGTACAAGCAAGTAACAAAGTGGGAAGTATAACATTCCTCCACCACTTGTCTGTGTGTTGTACTGTGGTGCTTTGTGTGTTGCTGTGATGCTGGAAGCTATGCCACCAGTATTTTGCATCCTGGCAGGGTTTCGGCTGAGCTGCCTAAGACAGACTTAGAAGAAGCAAAGGTGTACTACTTCCGAATGGTAGCCACTGAAAACTTCCTGAATAGCAGTGAGATACTGCCAGCACCAGAATACTGAATACTGAAACATAGTATCACCAGAAAATTGTCAGACATAATGCCGGATGAAGAGTTCCTCATGTTGGAAGGCACTCAAAATACAACTAGGGAAGAGCTGCCTCCTCAAAGTAGAGTTCACTATGATGACACAAATGGAGTAAAGGGCACAACTCAAAATCAGGAGAAACAGCTGCAAACATCCATTATTAATTGGAACATGGAAGGTATGAAGTATGAATCTAGGAAAAGTAGGAATTGTCACAAATGAAATGCAGCACATGCACATCAATATCCTAGGTATTGGTGAGCTGAAAGGTCCTGGTAGTGGTCATCTTGAGTCTAAAAATCACATGGCTTACTATGCCAGGAGTGACAAGTTAAAGAGGAATGGTGTCAAATTCACCATCAAAAAGAACATTTCAAGATCTAGCTTGAAGTATAATGCTGTCTGTGAGAGGATAATATGTATATACACCTACAACGTGTATATAGATAATATCTATACACCTACAAGGAAGACCAGTTAACACAACTATTATTCAAATTTGCATACAAACCACTACAGCCAGTGATGATGAAATTGAAGAACTCTACAAACTTCCTCAGTCTGAAATTGATCAAACACGCAATCAAGATGTACTGATAATTGGTGTTGATTGGAATGCAAAGGTTAGAAACAAAGAGGAAGGATCAGAAGTTGGAAAACATGGCCTCGGTGATAAGATATGATGGTGGAGCTTGCATGATAGAATTTTGCAAGACCAATGACTTTTTCATTGCAATTAACTTTTTATACAAAATAAAAGACAGCTATAGCTCTGGTAGCATAGTGGTTACGAATCAGCCTGCAAGCCACAAGGTCAGCAGTTCGAAACTACCAGTTGTTTCGTGGGAGCAATATGAGGCTTTCTGCTCCCGTAAAGATTTACAGCCTTGGAAACCCTGTACAGGGTCGCTATGAGTCGGAACCAACTCTACAGCTCGTAACAACAACAACATACACATGGACCTCACCAGATGGAATACACAGAAATCAAATTGACTACATCTGTGGAAAGAGACAGTGGAAAAGTTCCATATCATCAGCCAAAACAAGGCCAGGGGCAGATTGTGGAACAGACCATCAATTGCTCATACATAAATTCAAGCTGAAGCTGAAGAAAATTAAAACAAGTCCACGAGAGTCCAAGTATGACTTTGAATTTATGCCACCTGAATTTAGAGATCATCTCAAGAGCAGATTTAACGCATTAGAGAATAACCAAAAACCAGAAGAATTGTGTGATGACATCAAGAACATCATACAGGAAGAAAGTAAAGGTCATTAAGAAAGCAAGAAACAAAGGAAAGACCAAAATGGATGTCAGAAGAGACTCTGAAACTTACTCTTCAGCGTAGAATGCTAAAGCATATGGAACAACTGAGGAGGTAAAAAAGCTGAACAGAAAACTCTCAAAGGGCAGCTTAAGAAGACAAAGTCAAATATTATAATAAAATGTGCAAAGATCTGGAGTTAGAAAACCAAAAAGGGAAAAACACTCAGCATTTCTCACGCTGAAAGAACTGAGGGAAAAAAATCAAACCCCAACTTGAAATACTGAAGGATTTTTTTTTGGGGGGGGGGGCAAAATATTGAATGATGCAGAAAACATCAAAAGAAGATGGAAGGAATACACAGCCACAGTGCCAAAAACAAACGGTCAGTGTTCAACAGTTCAACAAATGAAGCTGCACTGGAGACATTAAGTTCATTTAAGAAATTTAGAAGACAGCTACCAGGCCAAATGGCAACATCTGTGCCCAATCCCAAGAGAGGTGACCCAATGGAATACAGAAATCATGGGACAATATCATTAACATCACATAAAAGTAAAATTTTGCTAAATATAGTTCAAAAACAACTTCAATAGTACATTGACAGAAAACTGCCAAAGGTTCAAGTAAGATTCAGACAAGGATGCAGAACAAGGAATATCACTGCTGACATTAGATGGATCTTGGCTGAAAGCAAAGAATACCAGAAAGATGTTTACCTACGCTTTACTGACTACGCAAAGGCTTTCTACTATGTGGCTCATGACATGCTATGGATAACCTTGTGAAGAATGGGTATTCCAGAACACTTAATTGCGCTCATGAGGAACCTGTACATAGACCAAGAGACAGTCATTTAAACAGAACAAGGGGGCACTGAGAGGTTTAAAATCAATAGTGGTAATAGTGTGCCACTGAGTCAATTCTGACTCATATTGACTCTGTATACGGTTTCTGAGGCTATGAATCTTTATGAGAGCAGAATGCCTCATCTACTCCCCCGCAGAGCCAATGGTGGATTTGAACTGCTGACCTTGCGGTTAGCAGCTCAATGCATACCCCACTATACCACCAGGGCTCCTTAATAATCATTAACAGCCAGGGATATATTCTTTCACCACACTTATTCAATCTGTATGCTGAGAAAATAATCCAAGAAGCTGAATTATATGAAGAAGAACATGGCATCAGGGTTGGGGGAAGACTCATTAACAACTTGTGATATGCAGATGGCATAACCTTGCTTGCTGAAAGCAAAGAGGACTTACAATACTGATGAAGAGCAAAAACCACAGCCTTCACTATGGGTTGCATCTCATTGTAAAGCAACAAAAAATCCTCACCTCTAGACCAATAAATAACATCATGATGAACGGAGAAAACATTGAAGTTGTCAAAGACTTCATTTTGCTTGGATCCACATCAACACTCATGGAAGCAATAGTCAAAAAAATTAAATGACGTATTGCATTAGGCAAATCTGCTGCACAAGACCTCCTTAAAGTGTTCAAGAGCAAAGATGTCAGAGGAATGAAGTGCGCCCGAACCAAGCCCTGGTATTTTCCATAGCCTCATGTGAAGTTGGACATGAATAAGGAAGACCATAGAAGAATTAATGCACTTGAGTTGTGATGTTGGAGAAAAATATTAAATGTTCCAAGAGCAGAAGAACAAACAAATCTGTGCTGAAAGAAGTATAACCAGAATCCTCCTTTAGAAGCCAAGATGGCCAGACTTTATCTCTCATACTTTGGACATAGTATCAGAAAGAACCAATTCCTGGAGGAGGACATCATGCTTGGTAAAAGGGAGGGTCAGCAAAAAAGATGGAGATACTCAACATGATGGATTGGCACAGTGGCAGCAGCAACGGGCTCAAGCATAGCAGTAATTGTGAGGATGGCACAGGACTGGGCGGTGTTTTCTTCTGTCGTATAGTAGGTTGCTATGAGTCGGAACCAACCCGACAGCACTTAACAACAACAACAATAACATTCCTCATCTGAAAAACTCACTAAGCTTGAAATAAGTGATGGTTTGTTGTTGTTGTTGTTGTTATGTGCCTTGGAGTCGGTTCCGACTCATAGCAACCCTGTAAATCTTTACGGGAGCAGAAAGCCTCATCTTTCTCCTGCGGAACAGCTGGTAGTTTCGAACTGCTGACCTTGCGGTTTGCAGCTCGATTCATAACTACTACGCTACCAGAGCTCCTTGGTTAGCAGGTGCTAAACAGTTTTTCCATGAAGATCTTCAATATCTGAACTACACTTAGCACCTGGAGACAAGATCTTCAAAAACTGATTTTTAAAATATCTATGCATAGAGATTTTCCTAAAAGCCAGTGTCATCCTATGGAACTAAAAACCATGGTAGAAAAGAAAATGACCACCTCTAACCCCACAAGGGATGCATATGTAAATTAAGTGTGAAGGAGACTTAGAGGAATGGAGGGAAAAAGAAACAGCTTACTTTTCTATTATGAAATTTCAACAATCTCTATAACCTTCCTAGGGAAGAAATAGCTGTTTAGCTGATCCTTATAAACTCACAAAGGTATTTGGTAACTGGACAGATGGGCTATACAAACCTGCTAGAGCTAAGTGGGTTTTAGGTAGAAAGACATAACATGTTCCCCCTTCTATCAAAACTAGTAAGAGACCAAAGCAAAAAAGGAATGGCTGTTTCCCCTGACCAAGGGAAGACCTTGGAGAAGCTATGGAGCTTGCTGTTACTGCTGCTGTGTGTCACTGAGTCAGTTCTGACACACAGCAATCATATACCATGTTTCCAAGGCTATAAAGCTTTATGGGAGCAGAAAGCCTCTTTCTCTCACAGAGCAGCTGGTGAATTCAAACTGCTTGAGGTTAGCAAGCAGTCCAATGTGTAACTCACTATGCTATCAAGGTTCCTTATGCTTCGTTCTATAAAAATAATATTAATATAGCAAAGTGGTTAGGAATAAGGACTTCAGAGTTAGATACACTGCCAGTTGTTAAACTTGGAGAAGTTACTCAATCTTTCTCATTTATTAAAGGAAGTTAATAATTGCTTACTTCACATACTGTATATGATGCATTTAGGACAGTAACTAGGACACCGTAAGTACTCAGTAAATTATTAGCAATATGATGACTGACTATTCTGCACTACACTTTTATCTGCAGCCATTACTGGTTATCAATCATTTCTCTGTATTTGTTAGTTGTACATACCTTATAGTCTACAGAAGACTCTTGTTCCTGTTGGCATTGAGAAAGATAGTCCTTCATATCATTCAATTCATCTTCATGGATCTTTCTGACCAACTGTTGATGCTTCTGAACCTGAATTGTGCCTAAAATGAAACATTTTATTTGGGATATATAAAATCAACATCATGATTACCATGTTTTAAAATATATAATGAAACATTTTATCTGGATGTCATTTAAATATTTAATTGAGATGATTCTTCTTCAAAGTATCCATATTTCACAGTTCTATAAAAATTTTGATTATATAAACCAAGAACAAATGAGTATAAAACTCATGGCATCATTCAAATGGTAAATGTTAATCTTAATGTAAATTGGGCCAAGTAGGTTCTTTTTATTTCACATACCCAAGAACATTAAAGCAGTTCATTATTCTTTTGATTAAAACAAGTAAGTCACCTACCCTACCCTAACGGGATCTTCAAACCAAGACTCACAGGTTAGAGGCAATAAGGAACAATGAAAAGAAACTTTTATCTCATTGTATTTTACCTAAATGATAAAAATTTTCTCACAGGTCTAAAAAGTACTGCAGGGAAAACAATAGTCTTAAGTATAATTATTTACCATTCTCAAAATCAAATTTTAAGAATTTTAGTTAGGTTAAGTTAGGTCTGCATCATAAATGTGCTTCAAATTTCAAGTCATGCTTTACATATGTCAGCCAGGTTGGTAAAACACTTGCTATTAACCCAAACAGAAGTACACCTCAAGTGGCTATCTCCTGCTCTGACCACTAGCTAACTTCCTGAAACTTTGGGTCAACCTAAGGTAAGTGGCAGAGTCCTGGAGTGATGCTGTAAGATAAGCACTGGACTGCTAACCACAAGATCAGAGGTTCAAATCCAACAGTCACTCCTTGGATACCCTTTGCAGGGTCGTTGTGAGTCGGAACTGACTAGATTGACACTTAACAATAACAACAACAAGGTAAGTGGTAGAGAGTGCTTACTCATCTTTCATGATTCAGACAATGACATCAAAACTGGAGTACACCTGTCCCTATCCCAGCAGTGATAAAGGAATACTAAACCAACTAGGATTCTGTTTTCACCCTAAAAATCAAAATGTTAATTTGACAAGACATGATATTGTTCACATGCCATCACATGCTTCATGCATAACCAGGAAAAAATTATTAAAAATCCACAAATCAAAATATAGGAGCTCTGGTGGCTTAGTGGTTACAAATCGGGCTGCCAACCGCAAGGTCAGCAGTTCAAAACTACCAGCTGCTCTGCAGGAGAAAGATGAGGCTGTCTACTCCCGTGAAGATTTAACAGCCTCGGAAACCCTGTTTAGGGTCGCTATGGGTCAGAACCAACTCAATGGTACTTAACAACAATCAGAATAAGGCAAAATGCATTTGGCAACCTTTTACGTACAAAGTTGCAGACCATTATGTAACAATATCACACAACTTTACAATAGGGTATAATAGTTTACTGTTTCTGCTCTTACTGCTAAACTGTTTTGGGGTTTTTTGTGTTTTTTTTTTAATTTTTCTTTAATGCCACCTGAAGTTAGGATTAATTTTTCTTTCAATTTTCTAATTTACAAAAAACATGGGAAAATTCACTCTGCTTCTACCATTTTCAAATGAAAGTGTAAAAATTACTTGTATTCTCAAATGTTTAACAAGTTCATACCATAGTATAGAGGTCCCTAATCCCTGAGTGGTCTCATAAAATCTGCCCAGGGATACCAAAAGCTGAGAGAGAAGGATCTTACCCTAGAGAGACAGAGAGCAGAGTCCCACTGAGGCCCTAAATTCAGACTGCTAACCTTAACTATGAGAAAATATTGTTTTGGTTAGAGCCTCTACTTTGTGATATTTTGTTATGTCAGGCCTTGAAAACTAAGATATAATCCAAAGTATGATATTTGGTCTTTCGGTCATGTCTACAATCATATCACATGAACACAGTCACTGTTTATGTGATCACTCAGAGCTTCTATTGCTCCTGAATACTAAATCTCAACTCCTGTCCTACAACATTAGTAAAAAGGTTGAAACCATCAAACTGTGCTCACTCCCTATTTACTTAAGCTTCTAGTAAAACCATTTGCCAGAGCTCCCGCCCCACCCCCATTACAAAAGCAAAGTATTTAGCACACAGCCTGGAAATTTAATAAGCCACTAATATCCCAAGTGTTCTTGTTACTAGTAAGTGTTGACCAGTCAGTTCCAATTCATAGGGACCCTGTTTCCTAGGAGTTTCCTAGGAGCAGCTGCTGGGTTTGAACTGCCAACCTTGTGGTTCGAAGCTCAGTGCTAATTGTACAATGCCACACCAATATAACAAGTTATTGTTGTTGTTATGTGCCGTGGAGTTGATTCCGACTCATAGCAACCCTGTACAGGGTTTCCGAGGCTATAAATCTTTACGGGAGCAGAAAGCCTCATCTTTCTCCCACGGAACAGCTGGTAGTTTCGAACTGCTGACCTTGTGGTTCGCGGCCCGATTCGTAACCACTACACTACCAGAGCTCCTTACTATAACAAGTACTCAGTCTTAAAGTCTTATCTTCCATTATTCTTTCAGTGTTCCATATTTCAAACTTCTCTCCATCTCCACTGTCACTATCAGTAAGGACTCGTCACCAAATATCTGCATCACAAAACTTCCTAGCTATTTGTTCCATACCACTTACCTTTTCATTCTTCCTTCACTTTTCTTCTAAAAATCAAACCTCCTACCCAGGTTTTAAGATGGTTTACAACATAACATCACACCTATTCCAACCTTAGTTTCCATTGTTTCTAAATATCCACTCTGCTTTCGTGTGGTGTTTTCACCGTTACCAAGCACAGCTGAGTGACACACTTAGGTGGGAGTGGTGGTGGTGGCACTTGTGTGCCAACTCGGTTCCGACTGACAGCAACTCTGTTTAGGGTTTTGGAGGCTGTAAATTTTGGGGGGAGCAGAAAGTCTTATCTTTCTCCTGGGAGCAACTGGTAGATTTAAATTCCTGACTTTGCAATTAGCAGCCCAGCTCATAAACCAGGACTCCTTACTTAGGTAGTATGTTTTAGATCATGAAATGCAATGACTGAGTTCATGGTTGTTGTTATAGTATGTGCCATCAAGTCAGTTCTGACTCTTAGCGACCCTGTACAGGGTTTCCCAGGAGCGGCTGGTGAATTTGAACTGTCAATCTTGTGATTCAAATGACCTTGTGGTCCAGTGCTTTATCCCACAGCACCACCCACACAAGGATGTCATGGTAGAAGATAGGAAAATTCAAACCAGCTTTGTAAACAAATCCAAAGAATTCTTATAGCATTGATATTAGTACCTGAATTAAGTGAGGGGAAAACTGTGATAGCTTTTATAATATCATTCAGTTAAGTTTTATACATTTTTAAAACCAATCTCATGATTATATTAAAACATGCATAAAGACAATATTACAACATACACACACACAACAAAAATCCCCACTACCATCAAGTCAATAAAAGGCTTCAGAGACTATACATCTTTATGGTAGCAGTCTCCTGCTTCTCCTTCCTGTGGTGCGGCTGGTGGGTTTGAAATGCCTTCACATTAGCAATCCAACCAGGATAGACCTACTTTGTTCTATAAAACCTAACAAGCCTTCATATATGGAAAAGTTACTGTGAAAACATATATGAAAAGATTGTGTTAAACATAACCATTACAGTAGATTTCACAATTAAGCAAAAACGCTTGAGTAATAGAGGAATAATTTTTAACTTTGAAAGCAAGTCTCTCTAAATAAATTTTTCTGCAAAACACTCAAAAGGTCATGCAGTTGGTTACGGCTTTAATGAAATTTGAACGGGATTAACAGTGAAAGTCACAATCCAATTATTTTTTAGTAAGAAAAAAGGACTACAATAAAACCTTTTCCTTTGTTACGGCCAAGTTTACCTGTGGAGAGGAAAAATACTTTAAAAAATATATTGATATACTTGCTCCAGCTAGAGAGTAAAGAAAATGAAATATATTTCAAATCAAATCTGATTACAATAAACTTCACGGGAGGATACAAATTATAGTTTCTCAGTAGCAAATTAAAGCAAGCACCCACAAGGTACCTATTTTATATAAATAAACAGTCAAATATAAGAAGAAACACATTTTACTGACTCTAACCCAAGCACTGACTTTATGAAGTTTAGTCTAACATTACAGACGTTGAATATAAATACGCCTTTTCCATCAATCCACAAAGGGTACATCTGTCATTCTTTAATGTTTGCATTTATGGTTTTGCAGTAACTGGTTATGTTATAGAAACCTGTGTATGCCTACAATCTAAATCACAATGGGATGCTTACATGAAATCTGAAAGCAGAAATAATGAAGACTAATTGTGACACTTCAAATGTAACTATTTCAACTAGAATTGAAGTAATCCTCCTAATCGGGACAGTTGAGTTAGAGTTTGTAGTTCTAAATTAAAATGATGTGCTTCATGGTGAGCTTTCCAGACTTTTTATCTCCCATCTTTTTATTTTTAAGAAGTCACATACATGTTAAACAACACTTATAGTTCTGAAAACAGTTCTGTGAGAAAGGGAGCACTACTCCAATTTTCCAATGAGAAAAGTGAGGTTTAGTTCTCCAGCATTCCTCACTCACAGGCTTCTTCTACATGGGGTTGCGGAGTCAGCACTCAATAACAGGAGCAGCTACACCATGCTGCCAGTTTATGTACAACAAACTTCTAATACTTACCATAGAAATGTCCAAATCCCATGCTGACTGCAATCACCAAAGCAAGTATAACACATTTATTAAGACCACTACTGAATTGGCGCTTAGGCAAGTTCTCCTTGGAAGGTTCAGTTTCTTGTTCAGCTGGCATCCGCTCTTCAGACTCTGAACTAGAAACAGTCTTCTTCCTAGAACGGCGGCGTCTAAAAGCAGGATTGGGTTGATGACTGGCTTCATCACTACTTGATTCATCGTCACTAGGTTGTGATGAAAATACTATTTTAAAAAAGAAAAATTTATTTAAGTATTATATTTTTAAAAAAAGCTTTCCCATAAATATGATTTAGAATTAATACCATCCCTACATGCCTTTTTACATGAAACAGCCCCAAACAAAAACAAAGCACCACAAAAAAGCAAATATTCAAGTTTATCAACATAAAACCAAAACATAAAAGATTTCAACTATGATACCCAAGAATCCTAGTCATATTCCGTGCCTTTGAGGGTCTAATTATCTTTGTAGTTTTTACCCCCTTTGTAATTCACACCATTGGAAAAACAATCATTCATTCTTGAAGCCTATTAAATATCATTGCTATTACTGTAAACAGGTACTAATTCTATAAAGAAAAAAAAAAAAACTTTCTACTTCAAACAGGTAATTTTAATTCAACTATTTAGGAAAGTACACAAGCAGTTTCTGTGACTTACAAGGTACAAGAAATATCAAGTCATCCTTGGGTTTATCTGTTCTCTAGTCTCATTTCCATCCTAATAGCTCATTGTCACGGTTAAAAGCACTTTAAGTTTAACATAGGTTTCCAGAAGTCAGATGAGCCCTTCCCTTCGACTGCCACTCTTACTAGAAGGTTATTAATTGTACCCTCTAGTAAATATGTCAGCATGAGGAAGTGACACAACAGCTATCTCCGATATTAAGGACTAGTCTGGTGCTGCTGATTTACAAAAAGAATAGTAAAGAATAACAAAACTGGGGAAAATTACTCAAGAAATCTCAAGTCCTAGGAACATATCTGCTGGTAAAAATCACCTTCATTTTTTTTTTCAATTGCATAATTTCTTAACAACATTCCATATCAACAAAGTAGATGTTGACATAGCTTAGGTCACTTCGTATGATCTCCACAGACCACTTAGAAGAAAAGGATAAACTGTAAGCTTGAATTTGATACAAAGAACTCCAAAGCAACAAACATTCATGCCTTATAAAAGCAAAACAGTTCTTCAGAACACAGCATTATCCATGCCACAGGAAAGACCGTGATTTGAGTTAGGCAATACTTTTTAAAGATGAATCATGGAGGATTCAGTGAACTTTCACACTTACAGCAACACACACAAAGACAGAAGGCACTACTGAATAAGCGACTACTCCTAACATTCAGTAACACAGAAGCCACTGAGAGATCTTTTGGTCAGGACCCTTATGGCCATCGTGTTTAGCTGGTTATTCTTGATGACTAGCTTTTCCAAGAGGCTGTCGCCTCAGGTGTGAGGTTACATTTCTTGGACAAAGAAAAAGGAAGGAAGACTTAAACAAAGCATTGCATAATAAGGCATTTAAGATCAAGGTTGGAGTATTTAGGCCAGACATTCTGACATATATAGGTAAATGTAAAAACAGTCAATATTCTTTCCATTTTCAATTCTATGTTTACAAATTGCCTTTATTATATAAGCAAACAAACCAGTCTAACCCATATTAATAAACTCACGTTTTACATAATGCTTCCATCTTTTTAAACCCATACATATGATAGCTGAAATTTTTGCTTAAACTTCTTTTAAGGCTTAATTTGGCCCCTAGTCCAAGATACAAGCAATGCAAAGGCATGCAAAATAAGCTTAGCCAGCTTTTTTTTTTTTTTACAAAATGAATTTTGAACACCTGTTTAGAGTATCAGAGATGGCAACAGGTTTCTTTAAAGCACTAAGTAAATAGTAAATGTGACTAGGCACACTCAGCTCAAGAGAAGCTGATCACATTTAGTCACACCACCTTGGAAAGCGAGTTGACTAGGAACATGGTGTTTCTGCTGATCATCCCATCCCCTTATGTATTCAGGAATCTTCCACAGCTTCTCCCACCATCTTTCTTTTGTGAATAAACAGGAAAAAAGATGTATAAAGCTTTATTATAAAGAATAAAAAGGGGGGAAAATTGGCAATACTTTTTTTAAACATAACTTAACATTGCTATCTGTGCTACATCAAATCTAATCACACCTTTTTAATTAGCACATACAATGCAAACGTCTCTACAACTACCATTTTGCTTTCTTGGAGTAGAAAGGGTCATTACAGAAGGAAATGGGTAGTGTTCTTAATTTAACCTAATGTTAACAACAACAAAAAAAACCTTGATGTTGAGGCCCTATAAATGGGGAAGGAAGAGAAAGGAATAAAGTAACTAAGCAAGGTGTAGCACAAAATTTTTTAAAACCAAAGGGAAAACAACAAGGGAAATAAACAAAAACTCTTGACAACTGCTGTATATATTATTTTCAACATAGTCCTAAATATCATCTTTGATTATTTTGTAATGTTTGGTTTATTAAAATAATCATTAAGGAGGGATAAAAACATACCTAATAAAATATTCCTTCAAAATCACCACAGAAAGTTCTAGTTCAAAAAGTAGATTAAAAACTAGAGTGAGTTTTAATATTTAAAGTGTTTAGGTTCTTAAAAATTAACAGTGTATAATGTCTGTATCTTTAAATGTCTTCTTGGACTTTTGTATTCACCTTGCTTCGATGTGACAACCTTTTCTGGTCCATAAACAAACTCAAGTTAAACTAGAACGTATAATATTTTTTAAAAGATAAGACAACTTGAACGTACAGCATAAATCCTGAATTAAATAAAATCTGATGACCATAAATGATTCTCAAATCAATTACATTAAGCCCTTATGAACAGATGTACTATTTATGCTATTGTGGCCAAGGCTGAAATTTACTTCTAACTACTAAGAATGCCAAATGAAATGTCTGAATAAAATCTTTTGAAGTTCTTGTTTATAGACAAACTATTGATATATTAACCAGGGGTAGAAAACAAACAACAAACCAACAAATTGATCATTAAATGAAATAGGTAAGAATCTCTACTTGACACTTTTACACTTAAATCAGAATAACAGAAACTCTTAACTTGTCTGATTCTGGTTGCCAAATGTAAATATTAAACTCTAAGAAGTTTCTATCAGAAAATCCAAGATGTCCCATAGTTTTCCATCAAATTAGGAAATACTTAGAATCATTTGAAATTTTCTAAGGCTTTTCTTCCATAATTCACTCTTAATTTATAACTGTGGATTAATAACTGAGTTAATTATGGGTGGGTGTCTTATGAAATCTTCCGGAAAATTCATCTGAATATTCGTATTCGTTGTTGTTGTTATATGCAGTGGAGTCGATTCTGACTCATAAGGCAGATAGGGGCAGGAAAGAAGAACAAATGGAAATGGATAAACTCAGGGATGTCGAAGTAGGAGAGTATAGTTACATTTTGGGGATTGCAACCAAACCTGTACAGGGTTTCCAAGGCTATAAATCTTTATGGGAGCAGAAAGCCTCCTCTTTCTCCTGAGAACACCTGGTAGTTTCGAATTGCTGACTGTGAGATTAGCAGCCTGATTTGTAACTACTACGGTACCAGCCTATTTCTAAATCCAAGTCACATAACGGTGGAGGGCAAATAGCGCAACAACTTACACTTTACTCTTCAAATGACTCTGTCTGAACAATGAGAATTAGCTGCATTAATAATGTGAATTATAATAGGTACATTTTCGTATCACAATCTGCAATGAAAGATGGAAAGGTCAGGAGCTTTGGGATACTGCTCTACAGCTGCCCCTGAAGCCCTTTTTGGCACATGGCATGCACTAAATAACTGTTTGTGGAATGACTAAATACTTAGTGAATCTGAAAGACTTTGTGAACTTTCACTATTTTCTATAATACACAATGTATACTATTATAAGTAAAAATGTTAACATTTTCCTTTTAAATACTAAATTATTTAATCTCTCACAAGTCTTCTAGAGATCTGAAAAAAAAAAAAAAAAGCAAATTCTTTTTGGAGTGCCTAAAACATCAACAGATTGCCTTAAAGACCTATTCTAGTCTTTTATTCAATTATTTTTCAATGGTATTTATTGCTATGGCAAAGAACTGATGTGCTCTATACTCTAGAGTCTAAGAAATCACTAAATAGAACAGATTTAACAACAACAACAAAACCCCACAGTTTTACCCAAGGTTAGAAAACAATCCACTGTATACAATGTGGTTATACAAGTGTGTAAGTCTCTATCAGTGTTCTCTCTAGAATTCTTACCTATTTCTGGTGGACAGAATGTATACTGGCTGCTAGAGGAAGAACCCATGTTAAAGTCTTCTGGGCTCTGTGCTTCTTCAACAATTACAGCTTCTTCTTGAGTTCCAATTTCTTCTAACTTCGGTGGCTCAAGGGTAACAATATCAGAATCGTCACTAACAGTTCCAAAATAGGCAGTGTCTTCAGGTGACTTTTCCTCCTCTGCCTGAAGAAATTATTTCAGAGACAGTGAGTGCAAAAATCATTTAACAGCTTTATATTTTTTACACAGCTCAAGTGGTGGGTGATGGTGGTTATGTGCCATGGAGTCGGTTCCGACTCACAGCAACCCTGTATAGGGTTTCCGAGGCTATAAATCTTTACGGGAGCAGAAAGCCTCACATTTATCCTACAGAACAGCTGGTAGTTTCGAACTGCTACTGTGAGATTAGTAGCCCGATTCAGCTCAAGTGTCAGGACAGCTTAAAGTCAAAACAGCAGATATAATTCTTGCCAAATAGGAAAGGATTATGCCGAGTTTGAAAACACCACCAAGTCCCTTGGCAACTCTAAGAATCAGAGCAGGATACATGTTCCTAGTAAGCTGCAGATGCTGAGCTCCCCACTGGCCCCAGAAAAAAAGAGCTCATTTCTCTCACCAGTTTCACGGGCCTATTAAAGCAGACCTGTGCAGTCAGGGAACACATAAAAGACTTAGTTAATTTTTCTGTTTATATCGAGGGCCTCAAAAATTCATGGAAAAATTATATGAAATATCAACAGCAATACCATGGCAAGATCATCTGGCTATCTATTTTTATCAATAAGTCAAGTAAAATTCCAAAGGACAAGATTTAATTTGTTCTCAAATTTCAAAACTAACCTTCATTTTAGATATGAACCATAATGGCTTAATTTCCCAATATAATTCAATAATGCAACCTACTCAACTTTGACCAAGATCACAACAGAAGGTCTTAGACAAAGGGAGTAAAAAAGTAGAACAAAAATTGAAAATCATAAAAAAAGATCAGACTTAAAACATTTAGAATCGTTCAAGCCTGAAGCAGTAACCCCGGGGGTCAATTTTCAACCAAACAACAGAGACAGGCCCCCTCAAAACAATCAACCATAGGAGGTCAAAAGAGCAGAATTTGTCCAAAAAACAAAGCTCAAAAGGCAGACAGAGGAAGTAAAGAAGAGCAAATGGATAAACTTAGGGATGTCGAAGTAGGAGAATATAGTTACAACCAAAGTCACAAAACAAAATGTTTATAAACTGCTCAATGAAAACTAGTACTCTCTGTTAACTTTCACCCAAACTACAATAAAAAGTTCAAAGAAGAAAAGAATGCAATCTGCTTCCAAGAAAAACAGTTAGAGATGAAAAGAACAGTTCTCTAATACATTATCAAGAAATCACTTTCTAAATTAAAAGATATCTCACTTAGCATAAAGTCAAAATAGAAGCTTACTTTAACCTTAAAGCTGACCAACCTGTGGTATCTCAAACTTTTTAATAAAAGTTGCTTGTCATTAAAATAAGAATATAATGTACAACTAGAAATGAAGGTTTTGATTGCATTCTCTAAGGAATCCTAATTATCATGAAATATAAACATACCGCACGTACAGACTTGGTTTCTTCCATAGCAGCATACACAGTTTTTCCAATCACCAGTGTGGAAGTCTGGCTGCTTTCTAATACAAAGCAAAAATAGATCAAAATATTTCATTCAAAACACTTTCTTGACTTTTTCTATTCTACCTATAATTACAGTGTAGCTAGAGAAAATCTATTCCTAATTTGCTAAAGTGGATTTAATAAAATGTCATACAATTATAATAGTTACTATCCTATTGCTGACAAGATCTCTGTATTTCAAATATAATTACCTGAAACTGTCAAGGGATAATTTTAATTAAACTGTATTAAGGCCAACAACTTATATGAAAACCAATTTAGCTATGTAAATAAAATAACTTGCAATATCAAAGTACTTATCAATCTAAGGTGTTTATAAAACTTGTTTATATGGAAAACCCGTTATCAGATACTTGATATCCTAAATTCTTAAAATTCATTCAAACAAGAATCAAAAGTATGCCTTAAGTTATAATTTCTTTATAATAATAATACTTTAAAAACACTAAAAAATAAGACTTAAAGAACATGGAAAATTTTTTCACGTATATGTTTCTTGGGAGAGACCATCTAGTTTTCAGATTGAGATCTCAAAGGGATCTCTGAGCCATTATGCTGCAGAATGGCTTTTTAAACCCACATATAGGCGGAAGAAAAACCCAAAGTGGTATAATCTATTATATTTTTCTGGCTTCTACACATCCATTCTATTTTCAAGTTGAAAAATGTTCTGTTTACTTAAAATTCTAATGCAATTTTTATAAATAATTAATAATGTAGATATTAAGATAAGTATGCATGCTTTCGGAACCAGTATTTCTCTACAGAATCAGTGTAGGTATCAAATCCCACAAGAAGCATTTATAACACTGATACAACACAGCGTGACAAATACCATTTATCACCTCTAATCAGAGTACCCTAAAGCAGGAGATAAATTAAGTTTAGAAAATCCCTTTGGATATTTAAATAATTTTGTACATTGCTAGTCTTAATAATACTAATAAGTATTATTAGTATGACAAATATGTATTAAACTTGTCAAAATAAATTCATGTTGTTGTTGTTAGGTGCTATCGAGTCGATACCGACTCATAGCGACCCAATGTATAACAGAACGAAACACTACCCAATCCTGGGCCAACCTCACTACTGTTGCCACGCTTGAGCCCATGATGCTGCCACTTTGCCAATCCATCTTGCTGGGGATCTTCCTCTTTTTCTCTGACCTCCATCTTACTAAACATGATATCCTTCTCCAGCAACTGGTCCCTCCTGACAATATGTCCGAAGTATGAGAAATAAATTCATATTAAACCATATCAATATTAGGTCACTGGTTACACCTGCAGTAGTATCACAGTATCAGGAGGCCCAAACATATACAAGGGAGCTTCAAAAAGTTCATGGAAAAATTCTACCATATTTTAATTCCTTTTTCCCACAAACTTTTTGAAGCACCCTTACATATCAGTATGCATGCAGCATCATGTAACCCGCACTACAGCCCCTAAAAAAGGCATCGTTTTTACATCTTACCTCCCAGCTCTAACTGGAATTCTTGTACTTTCTCTTGCTCCACAGATACACACTCTGGAGTGAGCTCCCGGCTGTCACTGGCTGCACCATGTTCCGAATTCACCATCTCTATATCAGACCCCTAGGGAAAAAGTGATTATCACCAAAAATTATTTGCCTATCAACTGCTCAAAGCTGGATTTGACACTTACCTAGATGCTTCCATTATTTAAAGTCTCATATGCTGTCATACTCCGAGGGACACCACACAAACTCACTAACAAGGAGTTAACTCCAACTCAGAGCAACTCACAGTAAAACTGCCCCATAGGGTGTCTGAGGCTGTTAATCTTTATTGAAGGAGACTGCACCACCTTTCTGCTAAGGAGTGACAGGACCTTTCAATTAGCCCAGTGCTTAAAGCACTGTGCCTCTAGGGCTCCTTTTCAAAGGGAATAGAATGTTCATCTTAGCCCAGAGAAGGGCCTCTGACAAGAAAGGTTGAATGGAGTTACCAGTTTAATTTCTGTATCAAGTCAGCTCCAAAAGTGCACGCTCTGGCTCCACTATTTTATACGACTAAGGGATACGTTTTAAACTCAAAGACTGACAGTTTCTGAACCTGTTTCTATTCACTTTTGTCCATTCAATATTCGTGGAATGACCATAGGCAAGGTACTCTACTAGATGTTTTGAGGTATAAAAATTCAAATTCCAAATTCAAACGTGTAACCTATTAAGATACACAGCCACATACAAACAACTGCTTGTCATAGAATGCATACTAATTAATATATGTTTAAGGGTATCGTCATGGGTTGAACTGTGTCTCTCCAAAGTGTCAACTTGATTGGGCCATGATTTTCAGAGGATTGGCAGTTATGTGATGATGTAATCAACCTTATGATATGATCAGCTCTGATCTGATGTGATTCTTTTATCTGTTGCAATAACTACACTTCTGTGATGCTTGTGAGGCTGGAAGTGATGTACAGAATTAGGCTGTATATTTAATGAATGTCTTGCGATATCAAAGAAATTAAACAAGCAAGCAGAGCTTAGAGGGAACCACTGTCACCAAGACAGAAGAGTCAGGAGTGGAGGATGTCCTTCGGAGCTGGGGTCCCTATATTGTGAAGTTGGGCCTACAGAAGCTGAAAGAGGAGACATGGCCCTTTCTCCAGAACCATCAAAGAGAAAGTCTTCCCACTGAGTTGGCACTCTGAATTTGGACTTCTTTGTTGTTAGGTCCCCTCAACTTGATTCTGACTCATAGTGACCCTACTGCACAACAGAACTTAGTCATTGTTCAATACTGTACCATCCTCACAATTGTTACAATGGAGCCCACTGCTTCGGCCACTGTGCCAATCCATCATATTGGGGGTCTTCCTCTTTTTCGCTGACCCTCCACTTTACCGAGCATGATGTCCTTCTTAAGGGACTGCTCCTTCCTGAAGATGTACCCAAAATATGGGAGACGAAGGCTTACCACACCAGCTCCTAAGGTGCATTCTGGCTGTACTTCTTCCAACATTAGATTTGTTTGTTCTTCTGGAAGTCCATGGTACTTTTAATATTCTTCTCCAACTCATAACTCAAATGCATCAATTCTTCCACAGTCTTCCTTATTCACTGTCCAACTTTCACATGCATATGACGCTACTGAAAATACCAAGGCTTGGGTCAAGCTCATCTTAGTCCTCAAACTGGTAACACTGCTACTGAACACTTTCCAAAAATCTTGTGCAGCAGATTTGCCTAATGCAGTATGATGTTTGATTTCTTGACTGCTGATTCCATGAGTGTTGATTGTAGATCCAAGCAAAACGAAGTCTTTGACAATTTCAAACTTTTCGCCAATTACCATGTTATTTATTGGTCCAGTTGTGAGGAATTTTGTTTTCTTTACATTGAAATGCAATCCATACTGAAGGCTGTAGTACTTACTCAGGAAGTATTTTAAGTCCTCTTAACTTCCAAGAAGCAAGGTTGTGTACTGTTGCACAGCCGTTTTGAATAATCTTCAGCAAAATTATACTTGCATGTGATAATAATGATATTGTTTGATAATTTCCACATTGTCTTGGGCTACTTCTCTTTGGAATGGGCAAAAATATGGATCTCTGCCTGGCACAATCATTTGGCTAGGTAGTTGTCTTCCAAATTTCTTAGCATATATGAGTAAATGTCTCCAGTGCTTCATCATTTGTTCAAAGACTTCAATTTATATTCCATCAATTCCTGGAGGCTTGCTTTTTGCCAGTGCAGCTTAGACTCTTCCTTCAGTTCCATGTGTATAGTCATCTTTTATGCTGTTTAAAAAAGTTATTTGCAATAAACAAGTCATTGTTCTGTACAAAATTCTATCATGCGATCTCCAGCATCATTTCTTTCATCAAGGCCATATTTCCCAATTATTGGTCCTTCCTCTTTGCTTCCAGTATTCACATTCCAATCACCAGTAATTATCAATACATCTTGATTACATGTTTGATTAATTTCAGACTGAAGAAGTTCATAGAATTCTTCAATTTCATCACCACTGGCTTTAGTGGCTGGTACTTAAATTTGAATAATAGTGGTATTAATCAGTCTTCCTTGTAGACATATAGATATTATCCTATCATAGACAGCATACTGCAAGATAGATCTTTAAATGTTCTTTGTGACAATAAGTATGACACCATTCCTCTTGAATTTGCTGTTCCCAGCACAGTAAATCATGATTGTCAGACTCAAAATGTAACCAATGCCAGTTCCATTTCAGCTCACTAATGCCTGTAAATATCAATTTTTAAACACCCTACTTCATTTTTGACAACTTCCAGTTTTCCTAAATTTATACTTCATAATTCCATGTTCCGATTATTAATGGATTTTTATAACTGTTTCTCTTCAAGTGTTCTTCTATCAGAAAATGACTGTCCCAAACCCTTTACTCTATTCATGTCATCAAGGTCAACTCTACTTTGAGGTGGCAACTCTTCCCCAGTCGTGTTTTGAATGCCTTCCAACCCAAGGGGTTCATCTTCCGTTACTATGCAGGACAATGTTCCATTGCTAGTCATAAGGTTTTTCAATGGGTAGGCATTCAGAAGTAGTCTAACGCTCCTTCTTCCTAGTCTTAGTCTGGAAACTCCACTGAAAGCTGTCCACCATAGGTGACCCTGCTGGTATTCCCAACACCCGTGGCATAGCTTCCAGCATCACAGCAACATGCAAGTCACCATGGTATGACAATTGACAGACAAGTGGTGGACTTCTAGTCTCTTAGATTATGAAGGAATAAATTTCTGTTTGTTAAATGCATCCACTTGTAGTATATTTCTGTTACTTAAGAGAAGTATGGACTAAAATGGAAGCACTAAACGCAGTAAATTTACTTTTTAAACTTCTCTTCTGAGGGTGTCCTTCCTACTTTGATTTCAGACCATCTTTTCTTTAATAGTGTTGAACAGGGATCTTACTTTTTTCCCCTATCTTAATTAACAAAATAAAGCTAAGAATACTAAGTGATGCTGCCCTTTCCACTCCCTACTCCCAGACATTTTTTTCCTACAGTTTAATCCATAAAATCCAAATATCTTGCTGAACATACAACGGATGATCTTTTCTATAAACCTAAGGAGCTCTGGTAGCGTAGCGGTTACGAATCAGACTGCAAACATCAAGGTCTGAGGTTCAAAACTACCAGCTGTTCCTCAGGAGAAAGATGAGGCTTTCTGCTTCCTTAAATATTTATACAGTCTCGGAAATTCTGTACAGGGTCGCTGTGAGTCAGAGCCGACTCCACGGTAAGTAACCTCTACCACCACCACACTCAATTCACAATAAAAAATAAAATAAAATAAAATAAAAATCCAAACATCTGTGTTCTCCTGATAAAGTGACTCAAGACAGCAAAAAATTAAATGGTTAATGGGAAGAATAACTTAGTTAAGCTCTAAAGAAAACTCTAATTTTAAACGTAAGACTTTGGAGTTGCAGGGAAGAGCAGTTGTGTCCTAAACCAGAACGGTGGCAATGGGAAAGAAAAATGACACATAAGAGACATTATCAAGGAAGACTAGAACTTGGTAACTAGCTATCGGATTGTTATTTATGCTTTGGAGAAAACAAGTTTTCTATATTTAAAAAAATCACGAAGTCATTTATGATTGGATAAACAAACATACAAGAAAGAACTCCAATCTCCATCAGAACAGGCGCGGTTTAATTTTGAACCTTTCATACAGATAAAGCCACATTTATTTTGTTGAGGTTATTTTCAACAGTAAATGAATAACAAAGTGTCCAAACTTTATATGATCAAAGTAATTATTAAATTATTATTATTATTATTATTAGGGAAAACAAGTGTGGCTTAAGAAATCCTAAAAACAAATAGGAAGCTCCATAAAAACTGTGAACAGGTATGATTTTTACTTTTTTTGTTCATCAATATTGACTGTCCTACAACGGACATATATTACCACTAGTGTTTATTATGCATGCAGAAAATAAATACATTTTTATTGTGTATGGATTTCTGGTGTGACGATCACTGTAGGGTAACAATGGACTGCTAACCACAAGGCCAGCAGTTCAAACTCACCATCTATACCTTGGAAAGCCTATATATCGGGTCGCTACGAGTCAGAACCAACTGGATGGCAGTTAGCAACAATCATGTAACAGAGCCCCTAGGTGGCACACACAGTTACGTTCTTGACTAGTTGACAGGTAGATGGCACTTGGACACTTTGCAAGGCAAGCCTGGCCATCTGCACCCTTGAAAACCCGATGGAGTTTTACTAGGCATACACGGGGTCACCACAAATCACAATGAACTCATCAGGTAGCTAACAACAATGAATCATGTAACCTCATTCTTCTATTTAAAACAATCATATTGTCATAAATTTTACCCACAATTCTTTTCTTGGCAAGCACTACTGATACTTTACATAACACTAGAGGAACACATGTTTTGCATGTTCCTTTCTGGTTTGCTCAAAGCCAGGCTCTGCTATTTTAAAGTTATGTAACTTTAGCCAAATTACTGGATCACTTTAATCTTTTGCTTTCTCAACTGTAAAATGAGAATGAAAGAATATCTACTACAGAGTTGTTGTTAAAATTATGAAAGAATACATGCAAAGCAAGCAAAGGGCCTGCCCCGTAACACCAAAAAAACCCAAACCCAATGCCAGCAACTCAATTCCAGCTCACAGTGACCTTAAAGCAAAGAGCAGAACTGCCCAGCAGGATTTCCAAGGCTGTACAGATTTTGCGGAAACACTGCCACATCTTTCTCGCACAGAGTGGCTGGTGTGTTCACACCACCAACCTTCTTGTTAGTAATCAAGCCCTTTCAATACTATCCTACCAGGGCCTCTTTGATCCACAATAAGCTTTCAATAAGTATTTGCTTAATGTCTCAAAGCTGGGGAAAGCAATACACAATAACGTAGAAGATGATGATCCATGGAGAGTTTTCAACAGTTAAGTTTAGTGAGTATGGGAAATGTAAGCACCACATAATGAAACGTTATGCCAAAACGTAGGAAAACATTGGCCTTTAAAGAACTCTATGGCGCTATTTAACTCTGAAGTCACACATGAAATCACCGTGAGTAGACATTAACTTGATGGAAACTGCTTTTCTTGTCTCAAATAACTCATTTTATGTCACTGCTGTCCACTTTAATATTACAAATTACCTTAAAAGTATTAAATAGCATACCTCATGATTGATGACAGTCCAACCACAAGATGAATCACTGTCACTGGAATTTTCAGACATTTTTCAGGTATCTACAAACACAAAAAAATATTGACTTGTACAGAATGCATTTTTTAAAAAAAATCTATGAGCATAAGAAAAGCAACTGACTGCCTTTCAGGTGAAATGGAGACAACCCACCCATAGATTTACTATACAACCAAACTTCTCAAACAGGCAAATCTTCCAGAGCTACTGTAGTAAAAACAGTCATACTACCGGAATGAGGAAGAAAGTAGGTCTGAAAAAAAATTGCTTAGAGAAACGGAGACATGAAATTTTATCATTAAGTCTAGGGCTGGGGGAAGAGTGAACTAACTAGGGACAAACAAAAGTGAAGGTCTATAGTTTCAATTAACAGTAAGGTATAAAGAACATAGCTGAAGAAACCAAGGAGAGGGGAAAGGAAGGGTTCCCATTTTGAGTAAAGGGAAGTCTACTTGTTGGTAAATTGAAGCAAATGAACTTTTTCAAGCAGAGAAGAAATATGGTCAAGATTGTTTTAATGAAAATAATCCTGTTAGCCACATCTCAGTGACTAGAGCAAAGGAGCAGACCAGTACTTAGAAACACCTTGTTGTTAAGTGTTGACTCACAGGGACCCTGTACAGGGTTTCTAGGGAGCACTGGTGGATTTGAACAGCTGATGTTGTGTTTAGCAGTCCAGACTTTATCCTACGGTGCCAAATGAGGACTCTAAGAATACCAGTCAACTGAGGCATTAGCAATAACCTGGGGTGAAGTCCAAAAGTAACGTATACTGTGGCCCTCTACCTAGTTTGTTCTCCCTTCTCTGTATCAAACTTTTAAGCTTAAGAACCCAGCTCATTAGAGTAATTAGGATCTTACTTTGTTCCGCCCATCTGAATCTTTTAAATGCCTTTTTTGCACTTATACTGTGAACCCATTAGGCTTAAGTTGCCTGGTATTATAATTTGTTGTAGTTGTTAAGTGCTGTCGAATCGGTTCTGACCCATAGCGACCCTGTATGGGGTTTCTGAGGAGCGGCTGGTGAGCTTGAACCACCGGCCTTGCAGTTCAAACTGACCGTGCAGTCCAGGACATCAACCAACAGAGATATATAATATGAAACTATTGCTCAATTAAGGGGGTGGGGGGATCTGAGTTAACAATTAGTGAGTTTTGAAACTCTGAGAATGTTTGTTGTTGTTAAGTGCTATAGAATCGGTTCTAACTCATAGCAACCCTGTACAGAGTTTTCAAGGACCAGCTGTTATGTTTGAACTGTAGACCAGTGGTTTAAAGTCCAGTGCTTATCCTACAGCACCACACCAGGAATCCAAATTATATATATGACTTAAACATCTGATTCAGTGGAATGAATGATTAGAAAGACCATTATACATATTTACATATAGGAGCATGCCGTATATAGAACAAGGCACAGTAAGGTCTTGGAGAAAGAAAACGGCTGAAGCCTAAAAAGCATTCTTCCCTCACCCAGTGAATGCATCTCCCCTTCTCTAGGCACACCCCACCCTCCAGCCATACAACGGGGTGTCCTCGTCCTCCCCACACACACACACACACACACACACAAGTTCATGGAAAAATTCCATTACCTTTCGATTCCATTTTCCTTAACTATTTGAAGCTCCCTTATATTTTCACTGCTGGCCCATCTTACCCAGAGACTTACCTGTTTTGTTTTCTTGACTTTCCAAAACTTCTGAGTTACTAGAATTTATCAGGGCTATTTAAGAAGCACAAGACTCCAACCTCCTCTAAGTAATTTCCATTTAAATAGCTTTTTTAAAATAGGTAGTCTCTAACTTTGGTTTTCTTATAAAATTATACTTTAAGAGCTGAAGAGAGTCCTTAAAGATAGACAACACTTCAAAAGAAAATAATATACAATGTTAAACTGGGGAAACTGCTGTTGTTTTCCATTGTAGTTGAAAGGAAAACGTATATATTCTTACCTGAATTTCTCAAATATGTGAACCCACTGTAATGAGGGCTTAGGTTTAATTTTTTTGTTTTCATGTCTTCAGAGATGGATATGCTTATTAATTCCAGTCAAATGAAAAAGAAAACAATTCCCTACTTGTCATAACCTCTCTGTGACAGTTCTAATTAACAGAAATTATAAACTAGTGACTTTTCTTAATCCAGCTGTTCTCAATAAATTGGAGGTAATGCAATCAAGCAAAAAAAAAAAAAGGTAAATCTCTAAACCCTAACATATACACAGTAATCCTGAAAGATACCACCATCTCTCCCTGTTGCCAGTAATCTCCCTAAGAGGACAATCTCATTCCTTTTAGGAAACTGTAATAGGTGTTCATTCATATTGCTCAGGAGAATGTTCAAATGCCTTTTGCTTGAATTATCTTTTTATTCAGAGTAGCTCATCTTCTCTCTCTTTATCCTCCCCTCCCCACAATGTTTTCACTTCCCTGAAGACACCAGTCTTGCTTTCTTTAAGGGTGGGGCATTGCATAGTCTGACCAATTTCCCACTGGTTTTATCTCAACCCCAATCTCTTTCACTCATCATCTCTTTCTTAAGAATTTCCTAACCCTTCCCCAAAGCTTCTAGTATTCTCAACTGTTGTTGTTGTTCTTATGTGCTGTAGAGTAGGTTCTGACCCATAGTAACCCTACATAGGGTTTCTAAAGAGCAACTGGTAAGCTTGAACCACCAACCTTGCAGTTCAAATGGCTTTGCAGTCTGGCACACTAACCCACAGTGCCACACTAACCACAGATCTTGTGGTTCAAAGAGACCTTGCAGTATAGTACTTATCCCACAATGCCACACCAGGACTCTAGCTCTTAAATTAGAATAACCAAAACCCCACTGCCATCAAGTCAGTTCCAATGCAAAGTGACCTGCAAAGAGTTTCCAAAGCTGTACATTTTTATGGGAGCAGACAGTCTCATTTTCCTTCTGCATAGTGGCTGCCAGTTTTGAATTGCCAATTTCTGATTAGCAGTCCAGTGCATATTTCACATCGCCACCAGAGATCCTTTATATTAGAATACTTTGTGTTAATTGCTTATTTATCTACATGCCTGCTATGTATTCCCAACACATAGTATGGTGCTGGACACACACTGTTGTTGATGTGATTAAGCGCTGTTGAGTCAGTTCCAACTCATAGGAACCCTGTATAGAGTTTTCGAGGAGTGGCTAGTGAGGTTGAACCAATGATCTTGCAGTTCAAAATGACCTTGCAGTCCAGCACATTAACCCACAGTAAGGAGCTCTGGTAGCGTAGTGGTTACGAATCGGGCTGCGAACCTTAAGGTCAGCGGTTCGAAACTACCAGCCGCTCCGCGGGAGAAAGATGAGGCTTTCTACTCCCGTAAAGATTTACACCCTCGGAAACCCTGTACAGGGTCGCTATGGGTCGGACCCGACTCGATGGCACATAACAACAACAACAACAACCACACCAGGAATCCAAGCCACTTAGTAATGAAGAAAAATAATTTCTGGAGGAAGATATAGGTATTGGCACAAGTCTAAATTGTTTCTCAAAGAACTTCAAATCCTGGGGAAACCCCTGAGGTTCCCTATTTTATTACTTTGAAATGCATACGCCATTTCCATTTTAATGGATTTCCTAATGATAACACAGAAATAAACAGAGTTTAATGGAAAGTTATAATGGGATAACAACTCATGCAAAGTTATAACACTAAGGATACTCTGTGAAGACAATAAGGAAATTCTTTCTAGACTCAAGCTTTCTTTAAAACAAAACCCTCAAAGTAGTTTCTTTGCCAAAATCTCTAGTCAATTTTTCTCACTGTTTTCTAGATATCCACTTGTAAGTCTCTGAGGATGTTCAAAAAACCATCATCTACAAAATTGAAAGAATATTACTATTGCCCTTCTTGCTTCTGGTATCTCAGAGAATTGTTGTTGTTTTTGTCAAGTCAGTTCCCCCAACAGCAACACCGTACAACAGAACCAGATATCTCCTGGTCCTGCAACATCCTCTTAATTGCTGCTACACTTGAGCCCATTGCTGCTGCCACTGTGCCAATGCACACTTTTGGCAGACTCCCTCTATTTTGTTTACCTTCCACTTTACCAAGCATGATGTCCTTCTCTAGGGAGTGGTCCCTCCAAAGCATGAAACTAAGTCTGGTCATCTAGGCTTTTAAGGAACATTCTGGACAACCAGATTGGTTTGTTATTCTGGCAGTCCATGGTACGTATAATGTTCTTCTCCAACACCATAACTTAAATGCATCAATTCTTCTATGGGCTTCTTAATTCACTGTCCAGCTTTCACATGCATATGAGGCTACTGAAAATACCATGGTTTGGGTCAGACGCACCTTGGTGCTCAAAATGACATCTTTGCTCTTGAATACCTTAAAGAGGCCTTGTGCAGCGGATCTGCCTAATGCAGGACATCATTTGATTTCTTGACTGCTGCTTCCATGAGTGCTGATTGTGGATCCAAGCAAAATGACGTCTGACAATTTCAAACTTCTCTCCATACCTTCATGATATTTACTGGTCCAGTATGAGGATTTTTGTTTTCTTTACACTGAGGTGCAACCCATACTGAAGGCTTTAGTCTTCGATCTTACTCAGTAAGTATTTTAAGTCCTCTAACTTCCAGTAATACGAGAAGCTGGGTTCTATGAAGAAAAATGTGGCACCAGGATTGGAGGAAGACTCATTAACAACCGGCGATATGCAGATGATACAACTTTGCTTGCTGAAAGTGAAGAGGACGTGAAACATTTACTGACGAAGATCAAAGAACACAGCCTTCAGTATGGATTGCATCTCAACGTCAAGAAAACAAAAATCCTCACCACTGGACCAATAAACAACATTCTTATCAACGGGGGAAAGATTAAAGTTGTCAAGGACTTCATTCTTCTTGGATCAACTATCAACGTTCGCGGAAGCAGCAGTCAAGAGATCAGATGACCGTATTGCATTGGGCAAATCTACTGCACAGGAACTTTTTAAAGTGTTGAAGAGCAAGGATGTCAGCTTGAGGACTAAGGTGTGCCTGACCCAAGCCA